TTAACTGCTGAGCCATCTATCCAGCTCGAGGTTTTTTTAGACAGTCTCTGATTATACACCTATGGCATTGATGGCCTAGAACTTACTATGTAGACCAGGCTGTCCTGGAACTCACAAAAATCTGCCTGCTTCTCCCTCTTGAGTGCTAGGATTAAAGGCATATGTCACCATGTCTGGCCAGAAATTTCATCTTGAAGTCATGTTCTCGATTTAAAAAATTATTTATTATTATTGTGTATATGTATGTGTGGACAAGTGTGCCACATTGCACATGTGGATGTCAGAGGACAACTTTGTGGAGTTGGTTCTCTCCTTCCACCTTTACATTTGTTCTGGGTATCAAACTCAGGTTCCCCAGGCTTGCACAGCAAATGCTTTTACCTCCTGAGCCATCTTGTCAGCCCATCCTCCCCAGTTTATTAACAAACAAAATATGATTGGCTATTACTTTGAGTTAAAAATAGTTTGAAAAATTAGCCTTTTTTTCTTATCACTATGTAACCCTAGCTGGCCCAGAACTTGCCAATGGACTAGACTGGCCCCAGACTCACAGAGATTAAAGGCATGTACCACCACACCTCACCAAAATTAATTAAAGTTATAAGTAAAATAGGTATTTGTATGTATGGAAGTCATTGACTCTTCTCTCTATACTTGTAAAAAAAATACATTCTTTGGGACTAGGAGAAGACTTAAAAGACAATAAACAGACATGATGAAAACAAAAAACACAACAAAACAAAAGCACTGCCTGCTTTTGCAGAGGGCCCAGGTTCAATTCCTAGCACCCACATGGCAGTTTAACAACTGTCTTAACTTCAGATCCAGGGGATCCAACACCCTCTTCTGCAGGCATACATGCGGGCAAAACATTCATACACATAAAATAATAAATAAAATATTTTTAAATTATAGTACATTAATTCAGTGAGATACCATGGATCCTTTAAAGTCATGTTTTAGTTATGTAGTTATGTATGTTAAATAGATACATTGTATATTGTATCATATCTACACAGTAAGAATTTTTATTTGTATTAGTGAAGTTTTTTTTTTAAATGAAACAACTGCCAGCTCTTGGCTACCTTAAATAGCTGGTGTAAGTTGCAGAATCGAATAGATGAGAAATCTCTAGAAAGGGAGAAAACTCCAGGGATCTCACCGTGAAATTCAGACTTTACTTCTTTCCAGGTCAATGTCATTAACTCAGATCAGCCCTAGGACCTACCTTTTCTAATTCAGAATTTAAATTCCTCCAAGGAAGGATCTGATTGAATTGGTTTATCTGAGGTCACATTTATGTAGCACAGAGGCCCAGAAGGATAGCCAGCACGTGACTAATTGTGAACTGGGAAGCCACCTTGGGTTTTTATCTTTCTCAGTAAGATTTTTTAAGAGATTCTTTTTTTTCTATCTCAGTCTTTTGTGTATCAGGGTGAGTGGTGTATACATGTTTGGATGTGTGTGCATGTGTGTTTGCATGTGTGTGGAGGCCAGAGTTTAGTGTTAGGTGTCTTGTAAGAAGTTCTATAAAAAGGAAGCAGCAGAATGCATTATACTGTGTACAGAATAACGCTGTTTTATAGTTATACAGAGTCAGTTTGCAGTGAAGGCAGAGAATCCAGAGTTCTGTTTGGCTGTTCTGAGGTTCCTGTTACACGTGCAAGTAGGGATGAGAATTCCTTTGTAACAGACAAGTAACATCTGCCCTTGTATTTGTTTAGATCAGAATCATCCCTTTTCTTCCTGTGGCACAGAACTGAGGGGTCTCAACCAAGTTTTCTTTCAGACAATTAAGCACACCCTGAGCTACTTTTGTTGAAAGTGCTCTGAGCACCTGCATCTTATTTAGAGGCAGGAATCTCTCTCGTCACAGATACATGTTAGACTCCCACCCTGTCTCAGTCATTCCTTGTCTAGTGTGTCAAGTAGTTATGTAATTAATCTTCATTTTTATCTGTGAAAGAACCCTTGATTTCCTTTTTTTTTTTTTTTTTTTGGTCTTTTTGAGACAGGGCCTCCCTGTAGCCCTTGTTGGCCTGGAATTCACTATGTAGACCAGGCTGGCCTTGAACTCACAGGGATCCACCTGCTTCTGCCTCCCTTTTATCCCCCCCCCCTGTTGCGTTCTTCTCTTTTTTAGTGTGTCAAGATTTTTTATAATAATTTTTCTTTTTTTTGTGTAAAAAACCCCTTATTTTCTTTTTTTTTTTTTTTTTTGGTCTTTTTGAGACAGGGCCTCCCTGTAGCCATTGTTGGCCTGGAATTCACTATGTAGACCAGGCTGGCCTTAAAAACACAGGGATCTGCCTGCTTCTGCCTCCTGAGTGCTGGGACCTTGATTTCTTTTGTTTCTACTTTTGGTTTTTATTTTAATTGGGCTAAATCAAAAGATTAAAAAACCTAAATTCACCTCTTTCTTCCTTTTTTGTTGGCCTTTTTGAGATAGGGTCTCCCTATAGCCCCAGCTCACCTGGAACCCACTATGTAGCACAGACTGGCCTTGAACTCACAGAGATCTGCTTGCCTCTGCCTCCTGAGTGCTGGGATTAAAGGTGTGCACCACCATACCTGGCTTTTTTTTTTGTTTTGAAACAGGGTCTCCCTGTAGCCCAGCTGGCCTGGAACTCCTAGAGCAGGCTGGTCTCTATCTCATAGAGATCCTCTGCCTTCCTACTTCTTAAATTAAAGATGTGTGCCACTACCTGCCACCCTTTTCCAATTTTAACAATTGATGCAGTGATTCATCCCTTAGAGGTACAGAGAGCCAGCATCAATGCAAATAAATACATATGTTTTAACTTTACAGATATCCACACAGAGACAGTTCAAGCTGCACTGGCAAAGCACAAAGAACAGAAAATGGCTTTGCCCATGCCCACCAAAAGGCGGTCCACATTTGTCCAGTCTCCTGCAGATGCCTGCACACCTCCTGGTAGGTTTATCAGAACCCTTTCTCTTTAACAGTTACTGTCTTAATGGTTTGGAAATGTTTTGCCTTTTCTTTCTGAGGTGGGACTGAGCACTCTCCACACATCATCAGATGGACCAAAGAGCACACTCTGAAGGTGGCAGGTTTTGGTTGTCACCTTAGAAACAACACACAGAATGACATTTTAAGAGTAGAGTTGTTTAAACAGACAACAGTTTTCCTTCTGAATTTCCAGTGTTTACTGTAACATCCAACTCATGTAGTCATTAGTAAGTACAAGCCAAGGCCTTCTGTGTTTTGTGTCATGCAAAATGTAATCCATAGTCATAGATTTAATCCATTATTCTCCTCAGTCAAATGCTTTGTCTCAACAGCCATCCATAGGAGTGTGTGGACTTGGGACAGAATTTTGTGAGTCTTTAAAGATTTTGGGAGTGAAGCAGGACATGGTAGCACATGCCTTTAGTCCTAGCACTCGGAAGGCAGAGGCAGATGAATCTCTGTGAGATCAAGGCCAGCCTGGTCTACATAGCAAGTTCTAGGCCATCTGGGACTACAGGGAGACTCTATCTCAAAAAGACCATACAAAGATTTTGGGAGTGTGTTATTACAAATTTGTAATAGATCTGAAAATGTATTTAAGTATATGTTAATATATTTGTATATTTTGAAGAATTACCTTTTTATAATGGGATCCAAAGATAAATAGGAACCAGGTCTCTCTATCCCATTCCCACTTACCAGACTTGGAATCTTGATTCCTCCTAAAATAAACTTAAGAATTATAACTTCATGTCTGAGGACTAACTAAAGCAATTTAAAATGTCTTTCCTGTTTAGAATATTTCCCTAAATTTGTAAAATCCTTAATTTTTTTGGTCTTTTTTGAGACAGGGTCTCCCTGTTGCCCCAGCTGGCCTGGTACTCACTATGTAGACCAGGCTGGCCTTGAACTCACAGATCTGCCTGCCTCTGCCTCCTGAGTGCTGGGACTAAAGGCATGTGCCACCACACCTGGCTAAAACCTTAATTTTTTCCCCTTAGATCAAATCAAATTAAGATCTTGATAAATGTTTCTGAAACTAAACATGGTGACTCTGTTTCTGAGTCTCAACATAGTGTCTGTCTCTACTATTATGTTATTGCTAGTGAGGTATTTGTGGGGGGGATTCTACTGTACTGTTTAGCTTGCTATATCTTTGGGGAGATTCCCTAGAGAGTCACATCATTGTGGTTGGTTTTCATTCACAGCTGTCACATTGATGAGCCATGTGCACTGATCCTGTTCACTGATCCAGGCTCATGTTAATAGCTTTCTCCTAGGTTTCGGCTAACTTCTCCGAGCACTTGGGTGTGCTGTGGGCTCATTAACTGTGTGCTTTTTTTCCCCTTCACATCTGTGGTGTCAATATGTTTGAAAGAGAAATAGCTCTGTGGCTTCAAGTGTTTCTCAAAATATAACACAGGATACCTCTAGCAGACCAGCACAAAAAGGCATTTTGTTTCCATAATGATGCATACTTCAGACCCACTCATTCAGAATCTTGGATGGATTCCCTTCCACATTAGTACAGTATACAAGTTGGGGCCTTAGGCACAAAGGGGGCTCTCAGTCTAGTTGCCATTCGTCTTGGCAGATCCCCCTGCAGAATGGTTGAAGGTTCAATTGGAGTAAATGGCAAAGGGTAGGGAGCAACGTGACATGCAGTTCTTAGAAGCAACCCTCTCCCAAACCTCTATTAAAGCAGAGCAGTTTCAGAGTAAATAGGCTGTTGTCATGGCTTTGGGTTAAATGTGAAGAGTGCAGAAAAGGATTTGGAGAATGCTCACAAGGAATGGAAACCTTTTTTCAACTTTTATAAAAGTCACTGCCAGAGGGGAACTTAGCAGCTCTAGAAACAAATCGCAGCTGTTCACGGCCGAATGAGCCCATTGTCATCCATTGGAATCCACTATAGGCCTCTGTGTTTCTACACACCCGTGTTGTTCTCTCTGTGTAGTTGTGAAGATGCAGTATAATGTTCTTGATCATTTTACAGATAATTTCATAGCAAAGATAATTCTGCTAAGACCTGTGTTTAGCAGAGCAGAATCATCAGGTTTCCTATCCATTCATCTTCTGCTCAGGGGTGTTTTTGAATAGGATTTGAAAATTCTCCAGATGCTTTTAGGGACATCTGTGTTGTCAAAAGATGTTGTGGGCACCCTGCCCAACAGTCAGTCTCACACAGACCCCAGGTGGAATAGAGCTTGGTGGTTTTATCCAACAGTTCTACACAAGTTAAGGGCAAGGACTTTGCTCCAGTGAGGGAGTGTGAATGATGCATATCACAGGGCTTTGGTCAGCACCTTTCGTGGTAGCAGGTAGAATTTACCACTTTCATTATAATTTAGCTTCCATTTTTTCCAAGCTTCTCAGAATCACCAGTTAAGAGTATTGGCTGTTCCTGTTGTGGTTTTAAAACACTATCAGCATCTCCCAGGACCTATGACCGCTAATTCAGCAGTGTCACAAAGATTTAATCTGGCTTGTGTACTCTGAACCCTAAATACCCAAGTTTAGAGAATTACTGAGGCTGCATTCTAAGAATAAAGAGGAAGAAGAGAAATTACATGATTGCTCATTGTTCTATTTATTATTTATTTATTATTAATTAATTAATTAATTTTTATTGTCTTTTTGAGACAGGGTCTTCCTGTAGCCCCAGCTATCCTGGAACTCACTATATAGACCAGGCTGGCCTCAAACTCACAAAGATCCACCTCCCTCTGGCTCCCAAGTGGTGGGATTGAAGGTGTGCGCTACCACGCCTGGCTGTTCAATGTTTTTAAAGCCAGCTTCTGTCCCATTACAAAAGTAACCTAAAAGAGGGGCCTGGAGAAATGGCTCAGTAAATAAAGTACTTATACAAGAATGAGGAGTTGAATTTGGATCCCCAGCACCCACTTAAAAGCCTGGTACAGTGATGTGTACCTTAATCCCAGCACTGGTAGGGAGGAGATTGGTGGGTTCTGACTAGTCAGCCTACCAAGGTCCATGTTCAGGGAAAGATCCTGTTTCAGAAAATAAGGTGGAGTGTGACTGAAGAAGATACCGGATGTCGACCTCTGGCCTCCACACAAGTACCTGGGCAAGTACAAACCACCCCCACCACATGGGTG